TTACAAAATCCATCCACCCCAACTTGCTCAGAATGACAGCGCTACAGTTTTTGTGGAACTGTGAACACACATGACACAAGAAGCACATTGACAAATCTTTGTTGGCAAGGTTCACATGTTATTGTAGCAACCGTTCAACATCCCCTTTTGTTATAGGAAATGTCAGCACACAGTTGTCTGGGTACTTGTTTCCCATCGCGGTTCTCCCACTGACAAGTGTTATTGGAAATATGGAGTGGAACTTGATGATGTCTGCCACAGAGTCAAACATCTGAGGAAAAATAAAGGGAATTAGAGTAAATATAGTGCGATTGAGGGTTCTTAATGAAACATTTTCTGAAATGTGTTCACTCACATCATTTGAACGATATCCTGTGCCCAATGCGTACTTTTTTGTGCTCTCGACAAACCGAATTTTGACATTGTAAACTTTCTTCTCATGATACACAACCAATACCAAGGGTTCAAAGTTGCTGTTGGTGGAGCAGTCTCGTACCAAAAATGCACCATCCTAATGGGAGGAGTTACAGAAAGGAAATAATACTCCTGTTAAACTGCTTTTGGTGGGTTGTTTTTACACTTTCAACTGATATAGATCCAAATAACTATGTTTAACATCTGCCCGAGCTTAAGACATGTTCAGTTATATTTTTATTTATATATTTTTTTATATTTAGAGTCCTTATTGATATACCTTGTTCACCAGGTGCAAGGCGTGCTCAGCATCTGCTCGATTACATGTCCCGATGTACCAATCTTCCTCACAGGTCTGCCAGAAAAGTTCATTGATCAGTGGATTCAAAGCTAGTTAATATCACGTTGTGATGGATATCATTCTTGATTACAGGATTAGTTTGGGTTAATTATGGATAGTTGTGAAAAATTAAATACACCTCCACTGTTTCCATAGGAATTAAAGGGCTAATTAGCAGCCAGGTGATGCCAATACACTTGATTACCTGATCATCAGCACATGTGATCATCTCTAAAAACACAGAAGCTTTGGCATTTTGCTGGAAATGATTATTCAGGTGTTTGTTTACACAATACTACAGTTTTCCCAGGAGTGGATTCCCCCAAGAAATTCACCCCAAGGTCAAACTGTGCATTGCTAGGTGCTGCAAAATAAGTGAAAAATACCCAAGAGCTACATCTTAGACTCTACAGGCCTCAGTTAACATGCTGAATCTTAAAGCTCTTGAATGTACAATTAGAAAAAGAATGAACATGTTTGGCTTTTTTTGAAAGGGTTACCAGTAGAAAGCTACTTCTTTCTGAAGAAACGTAGTAGCATGGCTGCAAGTCTGCAAAGTTGCATCTTAACAAACCACAACATCTCAGGAACAGTCTCCTTTGGACTGATGAGACCAAAGTGGAGATATTTGGCCATAGTGGACTGTGCAACTGTGGTGGCGAGGTGTAATTTCTTGGCTCAGCTGCTGGAGGGAAAGGTGGAGCAAAGTGGTTGAGGAGAAGTGCCAGCTGAAGAGAATAGTGCATCTGCTAATTAAGCTCTCCTACTGAATAATGGGTGTTAAGAACTGTGTCTATGCAATACTGAAGTGACTCATAGTAGCAAAGATACTTGCTGCTGCCACATGCTAAACATAGCATGTCTGTGCAAACACCTCTTACCAACTGGTGGTGGAGGTATGATGGTTGGGGCTTGTTTTGCAGTCACAGGACCTGTGCAGTTGATCATAAACTCCGCTGCATACCAAAGTATTCTTAAGTGAAGTCTAAGGCCGTCTGTCCAACAGCTAAAGCATGACTGAAACTGGATCATGCAAACGGGAAAATTATCCCAAGTACAGCAGCAAATCTACAACGAATGACCCAGTCAAAGTCCAGACCTCAACCTGATTAAAATAGACGGTGGGACGCTAAGAAAGCTGCACACGAACGAATGCCTGCAAACCTCAATGAACTGAAGCAAGAGAAGAGTGGGCCAAAATTCCTCCACAATGACACAAGGGACTGGTAAAGTCCTTTAAAGTCATTCTTGAATCCTGAATCACTTAACCTTTCAAATGTCTTTTTTAGAGTTCTATGAAAATTTTAAGTTTGGAAAGAAAAGCGTCTGGACTTCTTTAAGTTTCCTTGAAGATGTTTCCCCTCTCATCCAAGAAGCTTCTTCAGTTCTAAGAGCAGTTGGTGGAGAGTCCCAGATTTTAAGCCCTATGGAAGTGTCCCCAAGAGGGTCATGGACCCCCTCTTGATCCTCTACCGAATCACACGAGCCAAGGTGTGAAAGTGGGTGTGGGTCACAATCAGCCAAGGTTTCAGGTGAACCCACTGTGAAACCTATCCCCACACTGTCATGTGATTTACTGAGGTCAAATGGCCCAGGATGTGAGTGGGTGTTAAGGCGTCTGGGGAGGGATCTCAAAACTGGATTATAGATGGCAGACAGTTGGTGTCGTAAACCACCGCCTCTGTTCAAAGATGGTCGCTCACAGTGGACATAGATGCTTCTTTCACTCCTCTTTCAAACCGTCTGTCTTCTCTGTCCAAAATGTGAACATTGGCGTCCTTGAAACAATGACCTTTGTCCTTTAGATGCATGCGAGTTGTGTCCCGTGGAGGTGGCTCTTCCATGTTGTGAACCCATTGGGCTAGTTTCACAGTGGGTTCACCTGAAACCTTGGCTGATTGTGACTCACACACACTTTCACACCTTGGCTCATGTGATTAGGTAGAGGATCCATAGGGGGCACATGACCCTCTTGGGGACACTCCCATAGGGCTGGGAATCTGGGACTATCCACCAACTGCTCTTAGAACTGAAGAAGCTTCTTGGATGAGAGGTGAAAAGTCTTCAAGGAAACTTAAAGAAGTCCAGACGCTTCTTTCCAAGCTCCTTAGAGTACGATGACCTGGATGACTGAGAACCTTTACAGACATACTTCAACAAAAACTTTCTTTTTCACATGACTGTAGCAGCACATGTACCTGTTGAGGCTTTTCCATTGGGACAAAGTCGTGCTGATCAAAGTCTTCTTTCGTCTGAGGCCATTCATGGTGATGGCGTTTCGATGGGACCCTTTCTTTAAGTAGATGTCAGGGGGGACTTATTAAGTCAGTAACTGTATAATGACTGATAATGATGAGCCCAAAGATACTTACCTAGACTTTGATGGGTCCTAAATAAAAGACGGAAAAGATGCATGTAAATAAGACATTTTAAAAAAGCATCTTGAGAAGCCTGAAAATATAAAGTCAGACCTTCTTTCTAAGTGAGACTCCAAATCCAGTGAATGCCTGTAACTGCCGTGTGTAAGACTTTCAGAACTGAGTGGACCTAAAAAAACCTTTATGTGTTAATACAGTTGTAAACAATTATTGGTGACACTTTATCACAAGAGGCTGTGATTTTTATCTTACCTTTCATATGTGAACTAAACTCTGCCTGTTAAAAGTATAAAAATTGAGTTAAATGACAATGCATGGTGAAATTTGTAGAATAAAATCAAATGTATATATGAATAAGGAAAGCATGTTTATTTTACAGTATTTTTCATAGGACCTAGTTTGTTAAGAGATGGTGAATAAAATGCAAACAACACCTTCTAATAGGTTCAGCATTTTTAGCTACTTACATTTCTAGTGGTCCCGTGCTCTCTGCTGAAATCAAATGACATTAAATAACATGTCAGAAGAGCCTCCAGCATTTTCTGTGATAATCTTTCCAACCAGCAGATGGTGTCAT